CGGCCCCTCGGCCCCTGTCCCCGCCATGACCAGGCCCCCCCAGTCTAACTACCAGGCCCCCCCCAGCATGCAGAATCACATTCCTCAGGTATCCAGCCCAGCGCCCCTGCCCAGACCTCTGGAGAACCGCACTTCTCCTAGCAAATCTCCATTCCTGCACTCGGGGATGAAAATGCAGAAGGCAGGACCCCCGGTGCCTGCCTCGCACATCACACCAGCAGCTGTACAGCCTCCCATGATCCGACGGGACATCACCTTCCCTCCGGGATCGGTAGAAGCGACGCAACCCGTGTTGAAGCAGCGGAGGCGGCTGACAGCAAAAGATATTGGTAAGAGGGAGCTCCTGCTTCTCTGCTTGTGCCCATCGAGAGCTGCTGCTGCTGCTGCCCTTTGGTAGAGCGCTGGCCCCAGCTCTGTAAGGACCTCGTGTTTGTAGGGTAGTTGCCTTTTTAGCTACAGTGCCCGTGTTCAGTGTAGTCAGTAGAAGGTTGCTGGTGCAGATGGTTTGCCCAACATCCTAAACCAGGCTCTGCTCTTCATGGGACCAGCAAGCAGTATCGAGTATCTCCTTTTTGTTTTTAAGCTCCAGGAGCTGCAAGTATCGTGTGTTTATGTTACAGGAACTCCTGAAGCCTGGAGAGTGATGATGTCTCTGAAGTCTGGGCTGTTGGCTGAGAGTACGTGGGCCTTAGATACCATAAACATCCTGCTCTATGATGACAACAGCATAATGACCTTCAACCTCAGCCAGGTGGGTGCAGATGCTCTGCGACACGCGTCTTTGAAGTGCTGATTTCACACACTTTGTCAGCAGGAGAGCAGAAAGCAGCTCGTGGCCTTGCAAGGCCAAAGTCCCGGGCGTCCCCGCACCTGCGGAGCGTGCGGGGCCGGAGAGCACGGGCCTGGGCGGCCGCGTGCTGGGAACATGCTGCCCCGGGGAGTTCCCGGTGTTTATGGGCACGCGAGCGCCTGTCACCTCCTCTTTGGCGAGATGGATGTGCCTGTCACCCCGCGGGAGCCGAGTGAGGGCAGGGAGGCTAAACTGGCCGCTGTGGCGCTGCCAAAGGCCGGAGGCTGCCGCGTTTCCCGGTGCCCGCGCGCCCCGGCGCTGCCTCTGCCCTGGCTCCGGCTTTGCCGAGGCCGGGACGCCGCCGTGGAGAGGCAGAACGTCCTGGGCCAGCTGCCCCCGTTTGCACAGGGGTTGTGTCCGTGTCCTGGGGACTGGAAAAATGGTGCTTGTGTTTCCGTTCCTTTTTCAGAGGACAGAAAACTCCCTTTTGCAAGTGCAGCATAAAAAGGACACATTAATGAGCAGTACCGCGTTAACTCGTGGTCCTTCAGGTCCTGCTTTCCCATTGCTCATGCTGGCCTAAGTTGGATTCTGATCACTCTTCCCTTCTTTCCCCTCCTGTTTTTCTCCTCCCTTGTAGCTGCCAGGCTTGCTGGAGCTCTTGGTGGAGTATTTCCGACGTTGCCTGATCGAGATCTTCGGAATCCTGAAGGAATACGAGGTGGGAGACCCGGGGCAGAGAACACTACTGGATCCTGGAAGGTTCTGCAGGGCTTCAAGTCCCCTTCATGAAGAAGGGGATGAAGATGATGAACCACGGCGCCTGAACTGCGAGGTGGAGGAGGAGGCTGAGGAAGAGGAGGAGGCTGTATTTGCGAGCAAGGACAAAGCACCCCTAGAGAGCAGCGAGGAGAAGCTAGTTAGCAAATTTGACAAGCTCCCAGTGAAGGTGGTGCAGAAAAACGACCCGTTTGTGGTAGATTATTCAGACAAGCTGGGGCGAGTGCAGGAGTTCGACAGCGGCCTGCTGCACTGGCGGATCGGCGGCGGAGACACCACGGAGCACATTCAGACCCACTTTGAGAGCAAGACGGAGCTGCTGTTCACTCACAAACGAGCTTCCTGCAACTCCGTCTTGAGGAAACGTTCCGCAGCTGAGAGCAATACGAGCACTAGGGAAGGAGAGCCCGCCGCGTCCGACGGCTCCTCGGAGAAGAGGATAACGGCCACCATGGACGACATGCTCTCCGCACGCCCGGGCTCCCTGGCGGATGACGAGGAAGAAACCAGAGCTTCGGAAAGCGCCAAGGAAAGCGGCAAGTTCCCATTCGGCATTAGTCCAGCTCAGAGCCACCGAAATATAAAAATTTTGGAGGACGAGCCTCACAGTAAAGACGAGACGCCCCTCTGCACGCTCCTGGACTGGCAGGACTCTCTGGCCAAGCGCTGCGTCTGCGTCTCCAACATCATCAGGAGTTTATCGTTCGTGCCGGGCAATGACTTTGAAATGTCCAAACACCCCGGGCTGCTGCTGATTCTAGGGAAACTGATTCTCTTGCACCACAAGCACCCAGAGCGTAAACAGGCACCCCTGACGTATGAGAAAGAGGAGGAGCAGGACCAAGGGGTGAGCTGCAACAAGGTGGAGTGGTGGTGGGACTGCTTGGAGATGCTGCGTGAAAACACCCTGGTCACGTTGGCCAACATTTCTGGCCAGCTGGACCTCTCCCCTTACCCGGAAAGCATCTGTTTGCCTATCCTGGATGGACTCCTGCACTGGGCAGTGTGTCCGTCGGCAGAGGCGCAGGATCCCTTTCCAACGCTGGGGCCGAACGCTGTCCTCTCCCCTCAGAGACTGGTTTTGGAAACGCTCAGCAAACTCAGCATCCAGGACAACAACGTGGATTTGATTCTCGCCACTCCCCCCTTCAGTCGCTTGGAGAAGCTCTACAGCACCATGGTGCGTTTCCTCAGTGACAGAAAGAACCCGGTGTGCCGAGAGATGGCCGTGGTACTGCTGGCCAACTTGGCGCAGGGGGACAGCCTGGCAGCGCGGGCCATTGCTGTGCAGAAGGGCAGCATTGGCAACCTGCTGGGCTTCCTGGAGGACAGCCTGGCCGCCACGCAGTTCCAGCAGAGCCAGGCCGGCCTGATGCACATGCAGAACCCGCCCTTCGAGTCGACGAGCGTGGACATGATGCGCCGGGCCGCCCGGGCGCTGCTGGCCCTGGCCAAGGTGGACGAGAACCACTCGGAGTTCACGCTGTACGAGTCGCGGCTCTTGGACATCTCCGTGTCGCCTTTGATGAACTCTTTGGTTTCACAAGTTATTTGTGACGTACTGTTTTTAATTGGCCAGTCATGACAGCTGTGGGATCCGAGACCCTGTGTGCGTGTGCGTGAGTGGAGAACTTAGAAACTGACTGTTGCCCTTTATTTATGCAAAACCACCTCAGAATCCACTGTCTGCCCTGCGCTGTCCCGCTTCTCCCTCGGGGAAAGACGTCCCCGGTCCCTCTCCCCTTCCCCTGCCCTTCAGATTTGTCCCGAGCCCCTTATTAAAGGAGACAAAGTTCTGTCTGCATAGAAGACTTTTTTTATTTTAACCAAAGTTACTGTCGTTTACAGTGAGTTTGGGGAAAAACGACTTGCCGTGTAATCACATTGACAGGCGCCACTTTCATAACTGTTTTTAATGGTAAACGCTGAAGGACAAAAGTGACTGCTGAACTGTGGGGTTTGTCGTTGTACATTCACAATCTTGCAGGAACCAAGAAGTTACCGGTTGTGAGCAGACCTTGTCCAAGGGAGGCCTGTGCAGTAGCGTGTAGGACTTCATGTACTGTACACCTTAAACTGTAAACATACTGTAATAACGTCTCACCTGGGAAAAAAAGAAAAAGAAAAAAAAAAGACGCTGGGTCAGCAACAAGCTGTAGTTTTTAAAAATGTTTTTAGTTATTGTTGAGGAGAAAAAAAAAAAAGGCTTTTCCCCCAAAGTATCATGTGTGAACCTACAACACCCTGACCTCTTTCTCTCTTCCTCCTTGATTGTATGAATAACCCTGAGATCACCTCTTAGAACTGGTTTTAACCTTTAGCTGCAGCCTGACCGCTGCCACGTGTGTATATATATATGACGTTGTACATTGCACATACCCTAAGATTCCTTGCAGTTTTGTCCCCGTCTCCCTGCCCCTTTATAGTATGACGAGTTAACGAGTTGATGACCTGCAAAAGCGAGACACAATTATTTAATCTCTTGCCAGACATCCCTCCCTGGAGGATGCTGTACAGGTCTCTGTGTATAAAGTCATTGCTGTCTCAGCAGCCAATCAACTTATAGTTTATTTTTCCTGTTTTTTGTTTTCTTTCTAATCGAGGTGTGAAAAAGTTCTAGGTTCAGTTGAAGTTCCTGATGAAGAAACACAATTGAGATTTTTCAGTGATGAATTCTGCATATTTGTATTTCAGACAATGTAGCTAAAAACTTGATGTAAATTCCTCCCTTTTTTCCTTTTTTGGCTTAATGAATATCATTTATTCAGTATGAAATCTTTATACTATATGTTCCACGTGTTAAGAATAAATGTACATTAAATCTTGGTAAGATGTTTGTAAGGGTTTTTTTGTTTCTCTGATTGTTTGATCAGCAGAATGGAGAATTCAGTTCAGTGCTGTGAGGGAGACGTAGATTTAATGTTGCAGGGAACGTGCTGGTCTCAGAGGTCCCATTTGGCAGCCGGTATGGATAGCAAAGTCTGCTCTTTCTTTTAGAAACCCTGTTGCAACGTAGTCTGGCTTTTTGGGTTTAATTCTGCTTGTTTTGGCGATGGGGCTTCCACTTGAGCGCTGCTCGTGCGCGGGGCGATTTTGCAGCGTAAGGTGAAGCTCTGGCCAGGAACCATCGGCGCTCGGTTTATAGGGTGGAGAGAGACGTGTTTTAGGAGGCAGGCGGTTCCCATTCGGCTCTAAAACGGGAAAATTCCGTTCCCCAGCACTTCTCACGTTTTCTTGGAACTGCTACGTGGGCTCTGACTTCCTCCAAAGGACGGGGTTTTCCAGCAGACAGATTCTAGTGTCCTTCAGCAAACCGCCCAAATTCAGTCTCTTCATATGAGAATCAGCCCATTTTTTTCATGGGTTAATAGAGGGGGATTTTATTCTGCGTGAAGCTTTATGTGCAAATACTAACAGAAGCAGAGAGGCTAGAACTGTGCGGAACTCCTTCAAGCAGAGCCCAAAGGATGGAGGTTCTTGGGGAGGAACCGTTCTGCTCCGAGAGCCTCGTGTCGTCCCCCTGCGGAGCATCCGGTTCCCAGAGCCCCTGGCCGCATTCCTGGAACTTCCTATTTCTGGGAGGAATTGTGCCAGAATCAAGCTGACGTGATTCTGAAATGGCTCTTAATCACCAGAAAATGCTGGGAACTTACTTTTTAATTGTATTTATTTTTTGCCCAACTGGCCGCAGGCAAGTCCTGAACCTTGCCTTTTTAAGTTAGAAATGGTGCTGGTTTTCCTTGGCTTTTAGAAGGGACAACTGGAATGAGACCCGGTCCTGGGATAAGGTTGCGACGGGACTTTGCTGTTCTGGGATGGTGTCGTGCATTTAAGTTGTCTTGTGTACCGGGATCTCTATTTAAACTTTGATTTAGGGTGGTTTGTATATAAACATGTAACTTTTTAATTTCATATAGATTAAGGGCTCTAGGAGCAGCACTGGGAAGTGAGCGTTTAGTTTTTGTGCGGCCGCTGCCTTCGTGCTGAAGTTCATCATGAGCGATTGCTCCAGCAGGGAGGAAGGGATGTGCTCAAATCACCCCTTGTCTCCGTGTTTACACGACAGGCGGGAGGCCGTGTCCCCCCAGGGCCGGGACCTGCCCGGCCCCCCAAGGGCCGCGGTTTTTCCTCCAAACGCCCCGTGCGGAGGCAGAAGGCTCCGTTTGCTCCGGGGCCGCCCCGGGTTCCCGCACGGGG